TGACTCAAAGCAGAAACAACTGATCAGTCATGTAATATAAATGTTCATTACATCAGAACTTATGTGGGAAATTAAAGGCATTAACTCTTTTTCGGGGCTGCAAGGTGGCGCAGTGGTTAGCACTGTTGCCTCGCAGCAAGAAGGTCGCTGGTTTGTGTCCCAGTGGGGACAGCAGGAATCTTTCTGCGTGGAGTCTCCATGTTCTCCCCGTGCAGCGTGGGTTCTCTCCGGGTTCTCTGGCTTCCTCCCACACAGTCCAAAAACATGTTGCGGTTAACTGGTGATTCTAAATTGTCTGTAGGTGTGAATGTGAGTGTGCTTGGTTGTCTGGTTTAAGTGTGGCCCTGTGATAGACTGGTGACCTGTCCAGGGTGTCCCCTGCCTTCACCCTGAGTCAGCTGGGATAGACTCCAGCCCCCCCGTGACCCTAATGAGGATCAAGCGGTGTATAGATAATGGATGGATGGAACTCTTTTTCAAAAATATCTGAAACCACCTAAAGCAAATGTAAAACTTTTGTAAAACATATAAAATAGAATTTAAAAAAAGATAAATAAAGCATTGGACTGTACAAAATAAGGAGTAAGACTTATGACTTAAGTAGACCTCAGAAGATGCATAAAAATACTTTGATGGAATCTTGGATTGTGTGAGCAAAGAAATAAAAAAAAAAAAACAGCAGGTCAACAATATCACTTAAATGGGATAAATGTAAATGTATTTCCTCAAGTAGTGTCCTTCAGCACAAATCTGAGATGCTTGTACTTTGTTTGCATTGAAATTCACGACAATTTGATGCTAATTTGTGCTCCTCTGCAGTTCCTAAAGATATATATTACTTTACAGATAAGGACTTTATCTATAAAAAATGAGTTTACATAGTGATACATTGTTATTCAATTCAGTAATTTGCTCCACTTCAACCAGCCATAACAACAAAATGTTACTGATATTTCAAAAATGTTTTTGTGACCATACTTGGAGTTTACCTAAAGCTGCAACAAGCAAAAATCTGGAAAATGCAATAAAAAAGAATTAGAAAATACAGCCCTTCCCTCTCCTCTCTGTTAAAAACCCTGCTCTTGTGAATAAAAGTCCTCAGTTGTACCCATTCAGCCACCATGTCCTGCTTCTAATGACCTATTGATACTGTCTCACTTTATCTGGTCTGAAAAAACCTGTTCGGCCAAAGTCTCCGGTCACAGGCTGGATTTTCTAAAGCCCAAAAATGATGCCAAGAAGAGGTGCAGAAGTCTAGTTTCCTCTTAGACTACTTGAATTACAATGTGCTGAAATGTTATAGTGAAGTAGTAGCTAAAAAAATACTGCCTACTCTGGCTTTAAATGACTGTCATTGGATTTAACTTGTAACGGAATAATTTCTATATTGCACAATTGCTACTTTTATAAAAAAAAAAAACAATGCATGCTTACTCCACCACTGCTTACACTCAAAAGATCAGTTTGCATGTTTGTGGTCATTGGTTACGATTTGCATTACTGCCAGGAACTACTTATTTTTTTCTGGTCATCTTGCTTTGCATTAATCTGGCTACAGATGCAATTATATTGTGCACAAGTTGACTTTAGATGCAATTATATTATGCACACAGTGACTTTAGAGATATTGTCAATGTTCCTCTTGCTGGTTCAAAGTTGCTGCAACACACAAACTGCTGAGAAGCATTGTCCTGACAAACTGCGTCACAAAAGCTTGCAAACGAGGAAAAATATATCACGAATTTGGTTGGAATGACCTTGACAACATGGATTGTTATAGAAACAGTGCACAGTAATAGACTACATGATATATGTTTTACGTAGATTATATGTATTTATGTATAAATATTATCTCACAGTCTTCCTTTCCCTTTACTGATTAAACAGTGAATGTTTCCCTTTCGATCCTAATGGTTTGGTATGTTTTATTTTCTTCCACAAACACTTCATAAATCCCCTCAATTTTTTTTTTTTTGTCAAATTTTACAGACTTTATTTATTCCAGAATTCAAAATGACTTGCTTACCAGCGAGTCCTCTACTCAATAACCACATGCGAGTAAAGCCACAAACAAGTGTTTGCAGCTGCCACCGACCCTAAACAAGTCAATCTGCATATACCAACACACCCACACATTCACACACAAGAGTGCACACAGCCTGGTCTTCATCAGGCAGCACTGGCACAGCGCCCTGAGACGTCGGCACACATCATGGGCACAAAGGAGGGAAGGAAACAGACGAAAGAAAGAAAGAAAGAAACAAAGACAGAAAGACAAAACAAAAAAAAAAGAAAAAGGCTAAAATAAGCACACAGGAAGAAACAAACTGCAGTGGACGGCGGGACAGAGAACTAAAGAAGGCTGGAGAATAAATCTGACAAAAGCGTACCTCGTCTCTGATCCACGCCACACTGGGAGAGCAGGAGGGATGTTGCTCTCGATTGCTACAGGGTCCACCTGTCTGTCTGTCTGTCTGTCTGTCTGTCCTTCTGCCTGCCGGGATCTTTGTCTGTGTGTCTGTCTGGCATCTGCACCTCTGTGTCTGCTTGATGTCTCATCTTTTCTAATGTCCCTTTGTGTGCCGGCCAGTGTCCTGGTGTTTTTCACATTTGAATCTGTAGCTCACCTTATGGTTACATCTGCGTGACTTCTTGTCCGTCTCACTTTTTGTTAGTCCGTATTTCTACTTTCTTGCTGTCTTAACCTCTCAGTGGTCACCTGTCTCTCTCTCAGTTTGTGCATTTTAGTAGTCAAGTGCCTTGTCTGGCATGTGCAGATACAGTCTGCTGCTGTCTGTCTGTCTGCTTCATGCCCAACCCTTTGCAGAAACACACACAATGAAGCACAGATGGACAGACAACCATTTTCGACCCAGTGGTGCAAAAACAATCAGACCAAAAAAAAGTGCAAAGGAAACACAGATGCCGCAGTTAGAAGCCCATGAAGTTTAGCAGTCATGTTGGAGGACATGCAGCAGTGCACAACAAGCCAATGGGAAAGGATACCTTTGCTTGTGAAAGTATTACAGATGCCCGACTGTCCCGAGTGTCCTTGCATCCCTCCGTCAAAGCTTTGGATTCGAGCCAAGTTGGGCATCCCACACCCACAAGATTTCCACTGTTCAATCCCAGCATGCCTTGGCACGACACTGAGTGATTGCTCTCACAGCGGCAAAACATAGGAGAGACAGAAAGAAAGACAGAGAGGCTGGATCTCTGCCATGTCTTCCTTGTAGTGAGCTAATGAAGCAAGAAAAGCCTGGATACACTTCAAGCACCAACATACACGCAGACACACACACAGTGGGCACAACAGCCCGATCCAGCACAGACAGCAGGCATATTGAACATGTCTCCCGTATAGACTGTAACAAAAAAACCCAGCAAGCCAAACAGCCACAGACCTGTCCAAAATCTGACTGTATTAGAACGTCTTTATTCATCGTTAAACTGTGGCTTTCTGCTGTTTTGATTTATGTTTAAAGTGCTGCTTAAAGCAGAATTATTGTGTCAAAAGAAGGTAAAGCCAGAAGATTTTTTCTTGCTTTCAGTGCAGGTAAAATAGGCAAGTTGACAGATGAGAGGAGGGGAGGTGTTGCTGCTTTTGGTCTCTGGCCGACTGAGATTTTTAGGGGCGGCTGTTTGGACGGGAAGCTAATGTGGTGCCTGAAATAAAGACGTGCAGAGGAGAGGCGACAGCAACCCAAGAACAAAGACAAGGAAGTCCACCAAGATGGAGGTAAAGAGCATGTTTAGGGATAATTTGTTTTCTTTAGCTTTATAACAAGTTAGTAATAATGACAGACTGTCTCCTGAAATGTTTTAAACTAGCTTCAAAATGTAGGATTTACAATCACGCCATTAGCACTACTACTGAAAGCACAGTTACAGTAATCCTTATTTATTTCCATTATATTGCTTGAGCTTTTTGACTTTAAAGAAGTGACAAACACTAGACAATTTTGAATAATCTGACCAAACTGCATTCTACGTTGAAATAAGGTAAATTTGAAAAACAAGTGAAAATGTGTCACATTAAAATTTAAAGAACTGTTTTTAAATCATAATCAAAGACACATATTAAAAAGTTAAATTCAAGTAAAATTGTCTTCATTCACAGTACAAAAAAATAAAAAGAAAAAAGGTATACTGATATAAAATAATTCAAATAAATACATTTTGTGACAGTTATTTATAGCTTTAAATGGTTATTTGGAAAGGAAATAAATGCCGATTTGCATTATAAGTTACACAAAACAGCGCTATGCAGGTAGCACACAGATAATTTGGGACTATCTAACACAAGAACAAATAAAACTGACAAACACAATGTTTAGTATGCTACTAACATATAACCTTGATAAAAATATTAGTCTTATTTTCTTTACCTGACATGAGCCAAAGTTATCTAATTTAGCATCAGGACGGTTAGCCAAGTTAGCTCAAAAGAAATTATTGTGATGCATCGAGTTTAACACATTTATAACAATGAAATATTTTAAAACAACATCTTTCCTGTTAATTTTTTTTCCTCTGTTGCTCAGTTTAGATTTTCTAGAAGATGAACACAATTTTCAATGGGAACAAGTGAGAGCATGTAACATGTTGGGCGGTTAGTGTGCACCTTAGCTTAGCATGCTAAGTTATTATGGGCAGTTGGAATGTCCATATTAGCTTAGCATACTAACTTTTGCTAATTAGAGCTTTGCTGATAGCATGGCCACAATCCTCAAATGAGAAGTCAGTTAAAAAAAAATCAATAAATTTTACAATTTCTGAATATTATTTAAAAGAATATTCAGTATTAACATACATGTTGGTAGCTGCATCAACGAAAAGAAGCAAATTTATCACTAGAATTTGTCTGTTTTTTCCATTATCATTACTTTACTCAGCAGTAGTAGAAATATAAAGTTACTGTGTATACCTTGATATATTATTACTGTTATTTATTACCTTGTAGCATCAGATGGCATCCTCACAGAAAACAACAACAACAATAACATTTTATAGATATTTCTTTTTATTTCCTTCAAAACAGGAAAAACTAAACTTTCCTCTGGTAAATTATTTATCCATCCAGCAGTTGTTTTTAGAATAAACATTTACAAAAATTAAAAAGAAGAGAAAAAAAAAGACAACACAGAGGTTGAAATCATAAATATTCACAGTATCTGTTTTTAATCACAAGCTTCTTCTTTTTTTTCTTTTTCTTTTTCACAATCCTCTGTATGCACTCTTATGTGCTCCAGTATAAAGCAAATCAAATTACTCACTTCTTGTCAAAGTGTAACACCTCTTTCATTCAAACTGTAACATTGCAGGTATACTTATAATGATATACAGCTGCTGGCAGTCCTGAGCGAGTCGTGTGCAAATTACTTGACATTTGATTTCATGTACATTCATATTTTGTATAAGGTGCTTTTCCTTTGCAGTTTCTTTACGAGCATTTTGGTTGATGTATATTAGATATGACACATCTTAAAGTGATATAAAAAGCATCCTGGGAAAAAAAGAATGTCAAAAAAAAAATAAAACTAAACCAGGCACCTTTTGGTCAGAGAAAGGAAAAACATCAAGTAAATTTCTTCTTCTTCTTCTTTTTTTTTTCCCATGACATAGCTGAGTACAGCTTAGTGTCGCCGTCCTCCTCTCCTCCACTCTGCTTCAACGTTCCCTCTTTGCTTTTCTTGTAATAGCACTTCTTCTTTCTCCTGTCTCCTCTCCTTTTCGTGCTTCCTTTCCGTCCTCGTCCTCTCATTTCTCTTGCCCTCATTGCTGTTCTGGCTTGCTGATGAGCTGCTGCTGCTGCTGCTGCTGCTGCTTCGGCTGCTGGGCCTCCCTTCTCCCTCCAGTTCATCAGCCTCGTCCTCCCAGCGACCACCATGAGCCACCATCTCCTGATTTTCTCTCTCCCCTTTGGCTTGTCTTACTAATTTATCCACCTTGTTTGGCTTCCACTCTCCTCCCTTTACCTCACTGTCATTTCTACTTTTGTTCTGCATCACTCCCCAATCAGGGGACCTTCTTTGAGGCCCTGCAGAGGATTCAAAGGGAAGCAGGTCTCTTTCCTTTCTAGCAGAGGAGGAAGGTGGAGATGGGTGGGTCCCTGCTGGTTTGTCTTGGTGTCTGTAGTTCTCTAATGGCTCTTGGTAATTACCATAGTAGTCAAACTGGTCCTTACATTTCAGTTCCAGTTGCACATCTCTGTGTGATTTCTGTGCATGTTGATCAGGCAGCTCGGCGGCCCTGCTTGTTGCACTGTTTCTGCTGAACTTTCCGCTGCTGCTGCTGCTCTGACTGCATCCTCGCCGGCTGTCTTTTCTTACTGCGTTTTGTGACGTTGATGAGGAAGGAAGATTTCTGCTTTGCATTGAGGCAGAGGTGCTGCACTCCCTGTCTCTCTCCCTGTCTCTCCTCCTGTCTTCCACCCCCGTTTGCTCTTTTGATCTTTCGCTCTTGCTCTGCTTCTGCCTTCCTCTCTCCCTCTCTGAAACGGAGGCGCTGTCAGTTCTAGTTTTGCCACTAGAGGGAGCCACACCCCTGCCTGACCAGGACAAAGAGGAGCTTTCCTCCTTCTCCCTGTCCCTCCTTCTCACCATCTCTCCATCCCTGCCTCTCTCCATTGACCTCTTTCTCTGTTGTTCATCCCCCCCTGTCTCCTTGTTGGTCACTGATGGTTGAGATAGAGCCACAGGAGAGACAGCGTGAACTCTGACCTCTCCGTCATGCTGCTCTCTTTTGCCTTCGTTCTCCCATGTGGAGCGAGGCACCTAAGAAAAAGGGATGAGACGTGACTCAGACAATCAGACAGCATGCAGTTTTTGTTTGTGCATGTGTCAGCGATACCAGAGGGGCAGTTACAGCAGAGAATAAGCGGTAAGAAACACAAATATTAGTAAATGTGTGAAAATCAAATGTTTTATTGATGCAACTTCCTCCACACGTTTAAAGACCTGGTCCAGCAGACACACCTGTATGATTACGTCTGCAGCTCGGTCCTCGGTGTATTCGTCCACAATTGTCATCCCCGCCCACCTCTGCTGAGTTTCTTCGCCTCCACAGCTGGCCACCACAGACGTGCTGCTGTATTTAACAAACATGCAAAGCGAGAGTTAAAAATCACACTCCATGCATGTCTTTAAATTGTGTGATACTCCAATTCAATATTTGTGCAGTTTTCACGGGAAAATACTTCCTGTATACATTACAGGGTTTCTCCTGAGCCAGAATAGGCCTTTGTTGACTGACTACACATGACAGTTTAGTCGTTGTTACCTTACTTGACAGAAATCTATGTGTTTTTGTTGTATTACTGACCATTTGATGAACAAAAATGTCTATCACGCAGCACCCCCAATTCACAAAGCTAGTTACAAACTTAAGTTGCCATGTTTATTCTAAATTCTTAGCATTCTGGCTAAAACTTCTTTTGGGGCGTGCCAAAATTTCCTCTGGCTAAAACTTCTTTTGGGGGTGCCAAAATTTCCTCTTGGCAGGAAAAAAAACTCTGACCTGAAGACAAATAATTAGCTAATTGAAAATGAATGGGCATCTGTTTTAATAATCTATTACTGTAATTGTCTGAGTAGTTTTTCCGGCAAAACTGTCTCATTCTTACTCCTCCAATGACAGGAACTGCTGCTTTTGTTTAATGGGACTGCTGACTGATACTGCAGCATATATTCTTCACTGTAAGTTGTAGGTTAGTAGAATAGATAGTTGGAAAATCTGACCTGCCATTAGCCAGTGTAGAATGAAATCCATCATGGCGGCTCTTGTTTTTGCTCTTCTGTGAGTTGGACCTGGCTGAGTCGTCTTCTTCACCTCTGTTTTCATTGCATGTGCTTTCTGTCTTCTCTGTTTGGGAGGTTACGGCCATCTCCTCTTCTTTGCTGTCATTTCTTGCTCTCTCTGCTTCTTCCTCTTTTCCCACGATGCTCTCCTCCACTCCTCTGAGCGCACAATGCCATAAGTCAAAGTCCTCCTCCTCTCCTTGGTCTTTTTTTTCTCCTTTCTTACCTGCAATTGTCTCCCACACGCCTCCCTTGTCATCTCTGAAGTCAGCTTTGTCCCACATATTTCTTCTGTCTCCTTCTTCTGGTTTGACATCAAACAACATCTCTTGGTCTTTGGTGTTTTCCTTCTTTTTATTTTCATCCATTTCTATCTTGCCTTCGTTTAACTTCTCCTCCTCTCTAATAGCAGTGTGCTCTATTTTTTCCTGTAATTTCCCTGTAATGTTCTCTAAATAAGACAAGTCCTGTTGATCAGTTTTCTCCTCTGTCCTTTTCCTGCTGAGGTTGATGTTGATGCTAATCTTCTTCTGAGGTTTCACCTCCATCCCTCCCTCCCAGATGTCTGTCTCGGTCAGAGGCCATGTTTTCTTCTCCTTTTTCTTTTCCATTTTTTGTTTTTCTCGATCAAGTGCTTGTGGAGATTCACTCTTGCAGGTTTCGGGGTCCTCTACAGTTTCTGTTTTAAGGCATTTGCTGCTTTCAGACTTAACAGAAATACTACTATCCACCTCGTTTCTCTCCAGGTTCTCCACCTTTCTTTTTCTACTGTTCTCTGATCTGGAGTCAGGAGCTGTGCTGCCTCTGGAGGTTTCTTTTCTGTCTGGGTCTTTACTGGGCTTTACTCTGTGCTGTCTCCCCTCTTTTTGTCTCGAGTTTGACTCTTTGCCTCGTCTCGATCCCGTCTCTCTCTCTGAATTCCTCTCTTCTTTGGCTTTTCTTTCATAGTCTTTATCCAAAGGTTTATCCAGCTTCAGGGGAGGGGATTCTAAGGCATCTCTGGCAGTTGCTTTGTTTTTGACTGGAGTGCCATCCTTGCAGGAATTTGGTCCACAGCTCTTCCCCTTCCTGCTGTCATGTGTAGAGTCTGCAGCATCAAGGGATGACGAGTCCTCCCCTCGTCCTTCCTCAACTTTCTTCATCCTCTTATGCTCATGTTCTCGTGGATTTACTCCCTCACTATTCCGTGCATGTGTGACCGTCGAGCGGTTGTGCTTCTCACTGCAGATCTCTGGATATTGCCTCGGCGTGGAGCGACCGTCGCTGGAGGACCGAGAGGGAGGAGAGCGGCTATCATTAGTTTTACAGGACAGAGAGGAACGGCTGGCGCTGGATGACTGAGACGGCGTGGAGAGGCTGTCACTTGAAGACTGAGACGGAGGAGAGCGGCTGTCGCTGGACGACTCAGATGAAGGAGACCGGTCATCCGTCCCGGCGGTCTGTCTACCTTGTGGTCGGTAGCGAGAGTCCAAGTTAGCGTGTGAATGATTTCTCCTTCCTTCTCTGTCCTCCAGCTGAGGCGGAGGAAGAAGATTGACGAAGGGAAGAGGCATCTGGGGGAACTGGCCCACGTAGCTGCTGAAGTATTTCTCATACCACTCTTTGTACTTCCACTGCATGTAGCTCTCTCTGTCCAGGTCCTGGCTGCTGCTGGTTTGCTTTGTATGCTCACCGTACAGGTTTCTGGTCGAACTTTCCCCCAAGCCTCCTGCCTCCCTCCCTGAGCGTTCTCCTCGCCTCCTGGAGCTGCAGCTGCTCGAAGCCGACTTCCTGCCGTGATGGCGGTTCTTCCAGTGATCTGCGGGTGACTTGGACCTGGAGTGGTAACCCACTCGGGGCGATGACGACGAGGACGGCGTGGGAGAGCGTGAGCGCTTGTAACCGAAGCTGTAAGAGCCAGAGGGAGAAGAGCGGGTGCGGTGATCTCTGTGACGAGAGTAAGGAGAGCGGGGCCTGAAAGGGGAAAAAAAAAAATCAGTTATGTGTCTCATACATTTAATGCATCATTGATTACTATTTGAGTGAATTTAATTTCTCTTTCCATCTTGTCCATGACAGAAAAGTTTAATGTTTTTTGGGAGGCTTGCACAAACAGAATTCTAAAACTGAGATGAAGCAAATCCTAGACATGTAAAACAAAGTATTTCATGTCATTTGAACCCAACAGCTCAACATTTCCAGGCAACAACAACCAGGATACCCACATCAGTCGTTAGTTAGATTGATATCCTTTTCACCCTTTTTCCAACCAGCTAAAACGTGGCGTGCATTCATCATTGTAATATTTTGTTTAGTTTTAGGTTGAACAATATACACTATGGATTAGTCAGAAGATTCTTCTCTTAAGTCATATTGCACTGATGGGTTGAACGTGCTCCACAAAAGGCTGGAATTTGAATGCATTTCATGTTTCATATAAAATGTCATAAATATTTAACTAGATAGTCTGTGTGCTGCTAACAAGAAGTTTCCAGGACACCGTTTACACATTAATATTAAATAATATATAATATGTATAAGTACGTGCATGTGCAAGTACTTAGGGTTTACATCTTCAACTACTACAAAGGCAGGACAGGCCTTCTGCTCCTCCATTATGAGCAGTTTAACACTTTATCATGTGTTCTTCTCTACAGCAGCTGGTTAACTCTGCAGCCTAGGATGTAAAATAACAATAACCAGGTGTCAGGAAGGTAGGAGAGGATTTCTGCTTGAACCATGTGATGAACATTTTCATGACTACAAATCTTCTGGTCTCTAAGGACTAGAAAAAAGCAAATTGTTTCTTGTTAACCAGCTGCTAAATGTTTTTTTATTTTTTTTAATAATACATCAAATGATACGTCACTTAGTTATTTACTGCCTTTTTATTTGCTCTGTCCTGCAAGATCTACCTCCATCCAAAGGCTTTACTTAACTTTTACCTATGTTTAAAGGTTTTAAAATACTTAAGCTATTTATAATGACATACATGGATATCATGGCGTACAGTAGACAACAGATTTTTGTTGTCATTTTGTAGTAAAAAAATGAAAAATCGCAACAAAAACTAAAGATCTGTCTCAAAAGCAGCCCAAAATACCTTGACTTGCTTTGGGATCTGGACCGGGAGCGTGATCCAGAGCGACTTGAAGAGCGAGAGTAAGAGCGAGAAGATTTGGATTTAGAAGACTTTGAATTAGAATGAGAAGAGGGGCGTCTGTAGCTAGATTCTCTGTGAGGGGACCTGAGAGACAAAGAGAGAAAGGAGATGTGTATATTTCAGTTTATCATATACACTATCCTGACTGTTTAGTATTCCTGCAACACTTAAATGCATACTACAAAGATGCTAATAGTCATGTGGGTACTTGTCTGATATAAATATATTTTCTGATATTAGCTTTAACAGATACAAACTATGCAAATGATAAAAAGATTTGCTGACTCCATAAGTAAATATGATCAATATAAAGATTTCTCAATATCTTCATCACATTTCTACAATATCTTGGAAAACAACGGGAAACATAACACCCCACGTCTGCTCACCTTTCCTTCTCCTTTCTCTGATACCTGTACCACTCCTTGGGGATGAGGGCAGGGATGGAGGAGGCGGAGGTGGAGGAGCAGAGGGGAGGGATGGGGGCACCCTGGGGCGTTGGAAGCGTCCAGACGGGCGTGGTAGGTGGGTATCCAGGAGGGTAACCGCCATGGGACTGGTGAGCTAGTAGGAAAGTGTGAAAAAGGGGGGAGGGAAATAGAGGTGGAGGTGTAGCTGGATATGAAGAGGAGGAGGACGATAAGGAGGGAGGGTAACCTGAGGAGGAAGAGGAGCTGGGGAGAGGACACAGGAAGAGTTAGAGATATTAGTCTTCATATGTAGACAGAGTGAAGTACATAGCAGCACATAAACACACTCACATCAACCCAAATATAAACATTTTGCACAATTATCAGATTTTCAACATATACAAGAATCTGTAATATTAATACTTCTCCGTCAGTACTCATGAATTAATCTGTGCAACACTATCGATATGTTCAATATTGTTATTTCAGAGGACTACTTCTACAATCTGAACTAGATCATGGTACATTTTTTGTTCATTTTATTCTGATATTCCTTAAATGTTTGCACTATCCCCACAATGCACGTTTTATAATAAAGGCTTATCATATCATACTTTACTGACCTGTCCCAGCTGTTTGCCAACCCAGACTGTCTCACAGCTCCATCTGTGGCTCCAGAGAAGAAAAAAAAAAAATCTTTGGCTGCTGCTTTACATAATAATTAACCAATGCTCAAACAAAATGTCAGAGCACTTGGTAAACAGTAGGGAATAGAATGTGACACAAAGAGACAGAGCTTCTTAGTCACTCACCTGCAGAGGAGGGCTGCTGATTCACTGTCTGAGGCGGCTCTGCCACTGCAGTGTGGTTAACCTAAACAGACACAAACACCGCAAGACTTCATACAGAGAAACTTTGCTGCATAGAGTTGGCGTGCCTGTGGGTTGTGTGCGTCCTCACCGGTGGTGTCGGCTCAGACGGAGCTTCTGCAGGATCCTTGTTCGAAACCAGTACGGATGAGACAAGAGCTGCTGAGTCATCCTGTGTGTTTCCTTCAGCCTCCCTACGTAAACAGTCCATACGTCACAGTCAGTCAGTAGCAAGACTGATTAGCGAGAAAATAAGATTTCAAAACCCACAATCACACACAAGCTGCACCGAGCTGTTAAAGATAAGCTTATGAAGATAATAAAAACTTTGTCTTGATCTGAACTGATCTGAGGTAGTTTTGTGCATTGTTTGTACACAGCCAGCTGAACTGTCCAGAAGTGACCCAAAGGCTTATTTGTATGTAGCACAACTGATTGTAGGTACATCTATGATCTGGCCAATGCAGACAAATACAAATGCATTGAATATATCTGGATAAGAGAGACTTTAAATGATCGATTATCAGTAAATTGCACGAATGCTGTTGTTTTCTATGAGATAAAATGGAGGAAATGAACAAGCCACACTGGATGAACAGTCACAAAACCAAATCACCCAAAAAGCAATCTGTCAATTAAGCCATTTCCTAACTTTGTAAACACCTTTGATGTCATTTTTGCTTTTGTGATGCAACTTGTGATAACTGCTCAATCAGCTTTGTTTTATTTATGATCGTATAGACAGTATTCTGTACGTTTGTTTTGTATTACTGTGACATGCAACTACATGCAGTTCAGAAAATTGTGCTCAGAAATTAGACTTTTAATGACAGCTACTTTTTTTTTTTTTTTCATTTTTCAACTCACTTAAAATCAGATATTATTTGATCTACTTGTCCAGAATTGCAAATTCTGAATCATGATTCAAAACATAACCTCAAATTTTTAAGGTGTGAAAAAACTGAAAGTGGGTTGCCAGACTAAATAAAATCTGGGAAAAAATAAATCTTGGAAAATACTTAATAGATGAATCTAAAATTTTACAAACAGCATTTTAAATATCCATACATTTTATTAAAACATTTTCAAGTAAATCAGAGATGGTTCCGGACGATTTCACAAGTATTTCCGTGTTTTTGTGTTCACATACTTGTCAGATATCTCGAGGTGGCTTTGCACAGGTTGGAGGAAACTGCTCGGTGTGCTGTGAGCAGACGCAGGGCTCGTTGCTGCAGAGGGAAGCCCAGACACCTGAGATAATGGTGGTGAGTTTGCAGTCGTTGGTTGATCCAGCAGAGAGTCCTAGAGAAGGAGAATATAGCAGGGATCAGAATACAATAGTAGAGCAAGAAAGTTTCAGTTTTAGGGAAACATTTCAGCAAGCTCATGAGAATAAACAATGTCTACACCAGACTGGAGAATGCTGTATAAAATGTGCACTTTACTGTAGTTTCTAGCACCTATTTAAATGGTTTTCACAAGAGTAATGGGACCTTTCACATGTCTGGGTCTGGACAAAAAAGCAGTAATTATTCTGTTTGCTCTTGAGTGAGATGCAGGGCTGATACTTTTTCCGCCCCTAAGACGCAACACATCGTTAAAAAGTTCACCCGCTGGCTGTCGGGTAATGGAGGAGGCTTCTGCGGCTGGCTCTGTGTGGTGACAGGAGGAGGCGTTGGGACAGGGTTTGGTGTCGGGGTTGAATTCTGGGACTGGGAACTGTCAGACTTTCTTCTCAAGGTTTTGGTGTTGTTTTGTTCTCTCTTGAAATTATTGACAGTCTGTGTCGGGACAAACAGATGAACAATACATTTCTAAGTTAAAAATAAAGATTAGCTTCTGTTGAGAAGCGTTACATACATACAAGATGCAAAACAAACCCACAACTTCAAAAAGCATTTAAGTCAGTATAGTGTGTATTTTCTATCACATTGTCACCTGTCTGAGGAATTTATTGGCTATTAAGGTATCAGGAGAGACATCTGATTGGCCACATGTGGGGCAGTCATGGTCGTCTGAATCCAGCAGAGTGGTGCGAATACCTGAGTGAGACGGAAAGAGGGTTGAAATGTAACGACTGAAGAATGATGGTAGCACCACCTATTAGTGCAACACTAAAGCACAGGCACACAGGCTCCCCAGCAGAGAAAGTTTCTGATGATAATGACATAAATCTTGATTTCATGTCAACTTTAGCAGGCAAAATCTACATATTTTGAACCTGCAGTATCATTTTCCCAAGTTCCACAGACACAGACACAGTGGTTCCTGATCAGAGGGACTTTATTTGTTATGCCGTAAATACAGTTTGTCTTGAGGTGTGTGTTTGTGTGTAGCAGACGCTCACAGTCATCACAGTAGCTGTTTCCGCAGCAAGGTATGACCACGGCATCACTCAGCAGGTCATGGCAGATCAAACAAAGCAGCTCTTCGGGTATTGGATCGGCCTCTTCCTCAATCTTCGGTTGCTCCTGTTGAATAAATGGTGGCTTCTCCTTCTTTCCATTAGCGTACGCCTCGCTGCAGACAGACAACAGCATATATTATTTACCAATATTCAAGGGTGCATATCCATATGTAATCTCATCATAAGTGTATATATGCACAAGTATGCTCATCATGTTATATCTATACATATCTATGCCTTGTACATTTTCTTTATTATACCTTCATTTTTCAGCCTTAATATACTTTTGCAATTCTTGTCCTGCATCATCTGCATCTAGCTGCTGTAACATGTACATTCCCCTGTGACAGATCATTAAAGACCCTTTTTCTATCTCTATCTTATCTTAAGCTCAGGGGAGTGACTAGAGATGCCTTTGACAAAAGAGACTTAGAGAAGATATCCTGCTAAATGCGACTGTTTGTCTCTCATATAATAAACTGACCCTATTTACAGTAATTATTTTGTGGTTTAGCTTTATACCTTATCCTGATAATATTGGTTAAATTAATGACTCAGATTAATAACATTATGTATTTTTTGTTATTACTTCAAGTTACCACAAGAGTTAAGTGTCTGTTGTAGTATTTAGATCTTGGAATGTGGCAATTTCTAATATATGTGTTTACTTAAGTGTACTCTTGCACTGCCACACCAGAATGGTCTGTACCAATTATTTTTCTGCAACATGGGAAAAAAAAACATTGTGGTTCCTTAAACCAATCAGCTGAGTTCTAAGTCCAGGATGCAGCAATGGTGTCCCTGCAAAATAGTGTTGGGAGAACTTGTTTTAGAGGAACAACCACATGTTAAACTGAAAGACCCAAGTAGTCCTGCCTTACTGCAAAGATTCAAATCTTGATTTGCCATTTTTAGCATGTCGGTTACAGGTTGTTATTGTTGCCCATAGTAAAGGGGGTTTTATAACTATAACCATGCAGGTAGAAGAAGGGGAGGAAAATGCTGTGTGAATACTTGGCTGAATTGGCAGTTTTAGACCTACAGTCTAGACTAATTTAAATAAGATGTGGGCATAATGATGAATAGCTTCTTTATTCCATTACGCCAGTTTAAGTTGCACATTTTCCCCAGACAGAATCTACGAAGGAACGCGTTGCCACTTTGGGAGATCTGTTCATTCACCTGCTGCTAAAAGATAGACGAGAAAAATCAATAATATTCAGACTTTTTGTACTTATGACAAATTGACTACTTCCTGTTTAGATTATGATAGTATAAAGACAGGAAACAACATCCACACACTCTGGCACTTTGATTCACACTCACGCGTCTATGGCAGGAATCGCTAAGCGTCCGGTGTTGGTCAGCATGGCTCCTTTCATAGTGGGATCATCTACCTCAACCATGAAGGAACGAGGGATTCCTGTGCTCTTCTTTATCTTTAGAGGAGCCTCAAAGTTTTTGTCCTGCTGTCAAAAACAAACACGTTTACATTTACTGTAAGGCACAAACAAAATAAAGGGCAATGAACACTCGCCTGCAAATGCAAACAGCATCGGGACACAAATAACTAGAAAAAACAATCTAAACACACACAAATCGAACCCGTTTCTTTGCAGAGCAGCAGTTGCGCAAGTAGCTGCCTCATTTCAGAGATATGACGCGATGTGCACCTACCCCGCTGGTGGGACAGTTCCTGATGTGGTGTCCGGTATTTCCACAGCGATAACAGGTGTAGTTCACAGGAAGGGCAGTGCCGAGCTTCTTGTTTAAACTAGAGAAATAGAAATAAGGACAATGGATAGGAGAGACATCAGCACACTGACATACAGAGTTTTTTTAAAAAAAGGGCAAAAGCAGGTAATAAAGAGCCAGAATTAGGTATGAAGGCAGAAAGCATTAAATGCATGACTCACCTCAAGGAGTCGTGGGCAGACTGGTACATCATAAATTTGATCTTTTCCTCCTCTGACACATCTGCATCGACCAGGTTAGCCATCTGCATCTACGGGCATCACACACACAAAGATTTAATATGAGCAGATGCACATCAACAAAATTAATAGACAATAAAAAATAGAAAAGAGAGCAAACCTTAGAGAAGAATGACAAGGCGCCGGTAGAGCTTTGGTCGTCCATCTGTTAGAGTTTAACACAAAATCAGTTTCAGGAATGAAACAGTGAAACCTCCAGGTTATGAGCCATCTTGGGAAAAGATTTATAATCCATACATGTTTAAAATGCACACTTCAAACCCAATGAAGGTCACAGGAAAAAAAAAAAAAAAAGAATTAAAAATGCTCGAAGATACACTCTAAATCAAGATTAATAATCCTACTTAGCTAAATGCTTTAAAGATTGTTTCCTGTGGAACAGTAAAGCATCTGCTGTCTTTTAAATTTCACACTTTTTTCAGTTGCTAAAATGTGTGCAGCATCTTCTAATAACACGATGCACCTTGAGCCAACTTCACTTTACATCCCTCGAAGCTGTCGACATTGAAAATGAAGAGAGAAGCTGACAATACAACGCAACCTGGGATATTTCATTTTATTTAGTTTTGTTGGGTTAAACGTACTTGCTTTCGTTAGCTTATGTCAGTGTTTAACATGACCTCAGTTCTTTATCTGTTTAAAGTTTAAAAGTTTGTTCCTCTACTGAGCTGGAATATATGAGTGAACCAATAGAAGTAAAATCAACTGGAGACTGTTTTGAGCCGTGACAGCATCGTGATTCAGTCAATTACCATGTTCTGTGAGATGGTGTGCTCACAAATTTGATTGCTGCTAAAACATCATTTATAACAGCAACTGGATGGGTATTGTAGAAACATTTATGGTTCTCAGAGGATAAATCTCACCAACTTTACCACCATGAAGAGTGACATTTGGAGTTTTAACCACATTATCTCAAGATCGATTGTCATAAACGTTCATCTATAGGATGAGCTGCAGCACCTGGCAATGTATTCAAATTTAGATTTTAATTCACCCAAATATTTGGTTTCTGGTTAACCTGCAAAACTACATAGCTATCAGTCTCATTTGCACTTGTTAGTAACGACTAAATATTCACATATTAACAGGCTAATATCACTTTTAGCTCGAGAAAACACTGTGCAGTGTACCTAAAAGTCTCAAGGTGCAGCCAGTATGGGAAAAGTATACTATTTAATATTTAAAAATGAATGTAATTAAGTAATAACATTGAAAAAAACAAACAAACAGAAAATACAGTACACAGATGATTGGGATCTTCACTGATTGCTTTCTCTGATTACAACCTTCCGTTTAAACCAATTTAAAATCCAGTGTCTTTAATGCAGAAGAAACACTTTCAATATGCGTGTTAAAAGTAGGATGTAGTGGTTGATTTTTAAGTATGTCTCTTCTGAATTTTTACCTTTCTGAAAATGTACCATTCAATGACTGCAGAAGAACTATAAGCTTGTCAGGTGGCCAAAGTGATTCCAGCTGAGGTTGCCACAGAAAAATCAGAACCTAAGGTTTGAACCATTGATCAGAAATATAAAATCATGACAAAAACGACTAACTCCAAGATGTGTTACCTCAGGTGACCATGTCTCCACTGAAGTCAAACACATAATCAATACAAATGACTTTATGGGTAGAAGTTAATCCAGCAGGCTTAAAGCACTAAGTCGAGTGGCAGACCTCCTCCTACTGAGAACCCAGACAGAACATCGGGTCAGGTGAGTGCAAACAAATTCAGAGTGCACCGAGGAAAAGCTTTTAGTTTACTGTAACACCAACAAAACTGCATGACAAGAATTCAGGACATAACAACAGAGCTCCACTTGGTTCCTGACGAGTGGGTTTAAAAGAGCACTTGTTTCTTTTGTTCTCGGGTTAAAAGGACAATGCTGCAGGTCCAGCGTGAATAAAGAGAGTTCTTATGCTTGGATGTCTTTTTTTGTTGAAGTTGTGGTGACATCAGGTGTAGTTTTTTTTTGTTTGTTTGTTTGTTTTAAATTTCAGGAATCTAAATCCATGAATTTCTTGACTGGATTTGAAGAGCTAAGCTGATGGCAATCTGTTCATAAAGCACATTTAAACCCAACATAAGTGATGCACAACATCAGACAAACTAAACTACCAAAACAATTTAAAAGCATCAACCATTAAACCAGGGGTGTCGACATCCGGTCCTCGAGGGCCGCAATCCTGCATGTTTTAGATGTGTCCTTCTTCCAACACACCTGATTCACATGATCAGGATCGTTATCAGACTTCTGCAGAGCTTGATGATGAGCTGATCATTTGAATCAGGTGTGTTGGAAGAAGGAAACATCTAAAACATGCTGGATTGCGGCCCTCGAGGACCGCAGTTCGACACCCCTGCATTAAACCATTACAACTAAAGGAAGCCAAGTCTTTATGTCATAATATTCAAGGCTAGTCATTGGCACTGTACATCCTGATAAAAATAATATTTTTAGATCAATATATTAAGTAATTTCTGAGACAATGATAATAATAAAAACAAAAACAAAATCACATGTTGATGCAATGTTTGAGTAACAATATCTCAGAAACTAATAAAGATAAAAGCCTGTCATTTCTCATTTATCATCATGCTTTTAATTTAGATATTTTAAGAACCTTTCTGAATCTCCAGAACTCTTATATTTCTACTTATATTAGGATATTTACCAATATTTTTGTTTTCGTGGTACAACTTAATAAGAAAAAAGAAGTTGATTTTCATTTTTATGACCACGTATTTCAAAATGAAAAGCATCCGTTATGTGACATGCAGCTACGTGTGGCTCAGAAAATATCACTAGCTGACTTTTGCATCATCATTTTTTTTGTTGATGTGCTCAAAGTGGGACTTTTCTTCATGGACTTGCATTTTTTTTCATATATTAACTCTCCCATAATAAAAGAATATTATATCTACTTGTCTAATATTGTAGAATCCAGACTGATGGCATGTGAGGAATAACAGTGAAAAAAATTCAGGCTTTTATTTATAATAGCTGCTGAGATATTGTCACTAAAAAAGCCTCAAATTTAAATTTTAATTATCTCTCTAAACATCTGATATATCAGTGTAACATTTCACACATGCCACTTTGAATATCCACAGTTTACGATACAACAGCCTAAAGTTAATCAGAGTAGAAATAGTTCTAAATATCTGTTGAATTGAGGCAGAGTGACCTCACATTAAACAGGCAGTCAGGGTAAGAATACAAATGTCTTCACTGCCTGCATGTCTCACTCTGTCAGTAATTGTTCTGACGACGCCAATAAAAGCAGCCTGTGATGTAATTTCATAACCGCCTCACACAATAAAACCATATAAAACCCTCATCCAGCGGCCGTAAAGCGCTTAACTGAATTCAAACAATAATAAAAGCAGCTTGCCGACGACACGCCGCTGCGTAACGACCGTCAGCAGAGCCGGTATCGTAAAAACAACAGTTGGGTTTATCAGCTGTGAATGGCTGGCCTGCTTGATAATGTTTGACCCGCCCGAGCAGCTCTCGCCTCCCACAGACCTGAGCTGAATGAACGTCAACAATGAACGCTGACTGGTGACACAGCAGCTTGTTAAACAAACAGCTGAGGACCTTTATTTGAAAGAACACAAATGTAGGGTTCCCCCCCACCCCCCTTTTGGATCACCATGTAACACTGGTTTAATCGTTAACCTGACTTATCTTTCCTGTAGAAGGTGCAATACTATTTTTTCCAACCATTTGTTGCAAAATCGGATTTATCTCAGAGCAGAAGATGCCTGTAAATCACACACTGAAGAGTAAACAACTTCTTCTCCTAAACAGGAACTCAAATAGGAGAAATGGAGGCTGTGAATCAAGTGCAAATCAATAATATGTCGGTAATTTACGCTGGACAACAGGGAGATGCGTTTTACGTGTATTCTGGGTTTTTATTTCTTTGCTGAGAGATGCAACATGAAGCACATTCAAGAAATTTTCGAAGCACAACCTTAAAAATGTTGTGTGGAGCTGTGGGCGGCGCGCTATGGGGTTTGGGTTGGCTACGTACTGCTCTGCTGGCTCCGAAGGCGTGGTGGAGATGGACGTCGGACTGCTCGCTGAAACACAGGGAAAAAAAACGACTTTTTAGGTTAAATTCACATTTTTTTCATGTCTGTCATAAACTAATAGTCAGGTGCCCTCTTTTTCCCGACACTAAAACAGCTTTTACTTGCTCTAATAATCCCTCCTGTTACTACAACTCTGACAAAATCACACAGAAATTAAGTCTAAAGTTCAGCCAAAGCTCATAAGAGGCATCAGCATTCAGTGTTAAAGTGAATATTTTCATTATAATTTCCCTGTTTGTCTTTGACTTCCTGAGCTGCAGCAGAGAGACGGCGCCACACAAAGTGAATTTTCTACCACTTTGGATGACATCTGCTTGATTCCACCAAAGTTTGACATTGGCCTTAAAATAAACAGAACAAGAACTGCACTTTCTGTCTCCTTTCATTCGACTGGAATCAGGCCAGGACGGTATTTCTTCACGTCCAGTGTGAAAAGGACAATTACAAGCAACCCGTGTCCGTGTCACATGGTGTCACATTGCTTTTAGGAGAATATTTCACACTCAAACGCACTTCAAACTATCAAAAGAAACGAGAATGAACTAAAGTACAGATTAGCTCATGTTCCCGCAAAGTAAATGTTGCTTTGTTTAGCTGCCAGTGAACTTAAGTTTTTAACCCTGAGTTGAGGGAAACTTTTTAAAAATCTGTCCTCTGAACTGCTGCGACTGCATGCGGGTTTTGATGCAACATTAATTTATTACCAAGCTGCTTGTTGCTTACCGTTTTTAAACTATGTGTTCTATTTATTAGAGACTTTTCCATTATTTAATTATTTATCATAGGTCTATCTTAGCTGAATGTTGTGTATTCTGTATGCTGCTGGACCTGGGAATGAATTTTGTGTTTGAATGACAATGAACTGAACTGAACTCTTTACTCTGTAACTGTAAACTGAACCTGTTTGTTTGACAGAGCTTCTGTCTCCCTTTCTTTGCCAAAAAGCCGTCTGACATGTCGTTTCATTTCCTCATTTGCGCTGTTGACACCGGAGTGCCACTGTTTTGCAGAAGTTCACTTTGGAAGAAGAATCTAAGTCCTGGTAGAACGTCAGTTCCCCAAACAATATCTGTCCAACATTACGAGTTTTACATTAGTAGGAATGTAGCACAACATCACAACAGCTCAATTCCTTCAAATGTGAAAGTGCAATAAAAGTATTTTGACCCTAAAATCCATCCATCCATCCATTATCTATACACCACTTAATCCTCATTAGGGTCGCGGGGGGGCTGGAGTCTATCCCAGCCGACTTAGGGCGAAGGCAGGGGACACCCTGGACAGGTCACCAGTCTATCACAGGGCCACACTTAGAGACAGACAACCAAGCACACTCACATTCACACCTACGGACAATTTACAATCACCAATTAACCTCAACATGTTTTTGGACTGTGTGGGAGGAAGCCGGAGAACCCGAAGAGAACCCACGCTGCACGGGGAGAACATGCAGACCCTAAAATCAATAAATCTTAATATTGATGAAAAAGACTCACAATTATCATTTTGTCCATACTCGCGCAGCCTTATTTCTTATTGGATATGATGTAAATTACAGAAGTGAAATTGAAACGATTTAAAAAGAAGTTTAAAGATGATTTTTAGGTCTTCATTAGACGTGTAAAGTACAGACAGACAGGAAAAAACAGTCTGGCCAGCAAGAATAAAAATAGTTTAAGTATGGGATGTAAAGTCTTGTTTCATTTCAGCTGCTGTCTTGAAATATGCAAACATTAAATGCTAACTGTTGTTAAAAATGATACCAGTCTGAGAGCGAACACTCAGTTTTAACCTGGGCATTTACTCCAACTGCAAATCATTGAAATCATCATTACAGGTCAGATTGTGAGGCTACATGTGCCTTTTATATTCGACTTTTATCTTCCAGCGCTCTGTCTTCAGCAGAAAATTTAACGGAGGATTCCAGCGCTTCATCACACTGTAAGGAACTCCAAGTTTGCTCAATAATAAATGAACTACTCTGAATAACTGTGTGACTTATTGACTCTTTTCTCAACTCGGGCTCTTTCACTGACGCTGCTATGTTTTTATAGCCACATATGAACATTGATTGTCTGGCTTCAGCGGCAAATGGGATAAGTTAGGCAACATGTAAACAGTGTGTTGTAAAAATGGGAAGCGTAAGAATCTGTGCAACTTTGGCAAGATGACTGGGGTCAGAGTTTCTCCAGAACAGCAGGTCTGGTGATGTGTAACCGGTTTGTGGTGGATAATATTTATAAAAAAGTGGTCCATGGACGGACAAAAGCTGAACTGGCAACAGAAGACACAAAATACAAACTGCTGAAAACCTTGTTCTTAGTTACTATAAATACGTGCGTGTCAGCTTGCTGCTCATGAGGCTGCAGGAAGTCAGAGTGTCCACACCGACGCCTGTCCATCACCAAAAAGCAGGACCGTGGAGTAATCGAAGCAAGTGGCCTGGTCTGAGAAATTGCATTTTCTCTGGCATCATTTATCAGAGGAAGAGATGGCAGCAAGATGCACTCTGGAAAGCGGAGGCAGTGTGATGCTGTTGGTAACATTCTGCTTGGCTCCTGGCGTTCACGTGGATGTTTCTTTGGCATGAACCACCCACCTAAAACCGTTGTCTTCATAGCAACGGTATTCCCTGATCGTCTTTCAGCAGGGTAAATTGTTCAGGAACATACCAGTTCAAGGTGTTCACTTGACCTCTAATATCCCCAGATCTCAATCTGAGTGAGCATCTCTGGAAAAAAAAAACAAAAAACGGTCCAATCTGCCGAGAGCCAACTTCATAACTTCCACGACTTAAAGGATCTGATACCACAGAACACCTTCGGAGGTCAGAGGAGTCAAGGCAGATGGTTTTAATGTTGTGGCCGAGCGGCGTAAAGCTAAATGTGCGACCATTGCCACAATTATTTCTCGCTCCGCTGGATGAAAGCAAAGGATCTGCTCTTCACCTGTTGCCATGGTGAATTACATCATCAGAGCTCCATTGATTATGTTTTATTTTTGTTCTTTTTAAATTAGCCACACACTAACCTCCTGACAATTTAGTTTTTTAAAGCAGCTCCCTGAACTGAAACTGTGTCTTTTAGATTCCAGCATGATATTCATTTTATTTTTTGATAGTGAGTGAAAACAACTATAATAAATACATGGTTGTGATTTCTTTTCTTTTTATCATTCTTAGTGTTGACGTTTAATCCACTGCAGCATCACAACCTCTATATGGAGCCTAATTAACTGTACAATTAACTTTACTGCCCAATAAACTAAACAGTGAGCAGACCCATAAATACCACCTACAATCACCCGTAGCTAATTTTAACAGCCTTAATAAAATGCACTTACAATGATTTTTATGATTTTCAGTTTAATATCCGATGTGACTGCTTTTCAAATTCAAGGCTTCCTTAGAGGCACTTTGAAGCTAAACCAGCCAGCCTGTGCAGGTAGAGAGCTTGTTTCCTGCCTTTAATCTTGTGGCCGGCGTCACACCGCTCCGCAGGCCTCATTCTTCTGCACCGGCCTGCATGCTGCTGACGGGGCTAATCACATGACCGCCGGTCTGTTCCAGCGAGGTCCTGCTTTCCAAGCATAAAACCCACAACACTGCTGGCTCTACTGTGTAAGCCCGACTAATATCTGGGTAATCCCCAAGCATGCCACCGTGTCGTTACCGTTCCACTCTTTTCTGGGAGCGTTTTACGATGGGAAATGCTACGCAAAAAACCTTGTTTAATCATCTTTCAACCACCAACTAAAGGATTCTGCTACTGATTCTCCACAATGAAGTTCATAATACTGTTTTCTCTTCCACTCTTGTTACTAAAAATAAATATCCGCCCTGCAAACACCACGTTATCCATCAACCTGCACCATTCTTTAGTGACTGAACAACAGAGTTATCTAACTTTGACTTTGCACAGCTCAGTGTAGATTTGTAGTTGCCAGGTAGTCGTTTTGCTGCAGCAGAGATATCAATACTAATATCAGTGCAGGAGATCAGTGGCCAAATTCCCCCATAAAGTAAACACGTACATATTGTGGGTCTTGCTGCTCGAGTTGGGCTTGACTCTGCTGATGGGGATTCTCCGCACGATGACCGACGAGCCTTTGGGGATCAGACCGCTGTCCTCGGTGAACTCTGAGAGGAAGAGATGGAAGAAAATGAGGCTTTAAAGTCTGGGGATTAGCTCATGTCATTTATCACATAAATGTTTAGGATCATGACCTCCCAGGTTGAGCATTACTAGCTGCAAAAATGCAGATAAGACGTTTAAAAATTAACTTAAACTGTACGCCTGCTAATTAGGAAACAATGATTTTCGAAGTAAAGAAGCATATTAGACACTTGTAAAAATATTCAAGGTTTGTATTTGTCCCATGCTCGTGCAGTATCTGCAGTGAAATGCAAAGTGACTGATCTTCAGGCTGTGCAATAAGAAGAAATCATTAAAAAAAAGAAAATAAAAAACAAAAAATTTGAAAAAAAAAGTCATAATGAGGTAGATTTTAAACTAAACCTATATTACTCTTCAGTTTATTTCTATAAGTGTGAAGTAAAAGTGCGACACAATCTGCTTCCTGACTTTGAAAATGTTTTTGTAAAACACATTCATGAATGCACCCTTGAAAACATTCTGCTTTCTCTGAATCACCAACCTTTTAAACTCTAAATCAAAGCAAAAATAAGTAAATTATTGGCACCTTTTGGTTTCCTTACTCTGCTGTCTAGAAAACCACTCCTGCAATACACTTAGATTAGTTGTTTTTTCTTCTTCTGTTACTTCCGGTTGCACTGCTTCTGTGAATCATGTGGTTGTGCTTTCTGATTTCAAAGCCCGTGTGCAGGATGTTGATTTAAAGTGATGTACTCCAGGTTTGGTTCATGCTGCTGTCTGTATGGTAACATCTAGTCTCGTAGATGCTGCTCTTCCTGCATGTGCTGCTGCTGCTCTTTAACCTTATGGTCATGGCCAGGCTCTGCTATTTTTAGGCTCTCCTCAGACATGCACTTGCACTGACAGGGCCAAAGCACCACGACCACCAGCAGGCTGTTTAATTAAGGGGCACGAGGCAGGAATGTGGCCTCATTCATCAGCTCCACCTTTTGTCCTGGACTGACTTTTTTTTTTTTCTCTCTCTTCTGGAGGTGACGCAACCTCAGCCAGCTGTCAAAGCAGCACCACGTGTTTCTCTTCCTCGTCTTCTTGCTCCAATCTGCAGCTCACCTGTCCGCACAAACTTATCACAAATTACCTTCTTTGTTCTGCGCGTTGGTGATCTGCAGGTCGCAGTCGGCGGCTCGCAGCTTCTCCCTGCCCATGATCCGCCTCTTGAGCTCGTCCAGCGTGATGTGCGGCCCGTCAAACACCACCGTGTCGTAGCTCAGCTTGGAGGAGAATTTATAATGAATATGAGGCATGTTGACACCGAGTCTCTCCCAGCTGACAGCTTCCTTCCCCCAGTGGAAAAGCCCGAATCCCAGTGCGCAAAGTTAGCTATAGCCGCGCGTTAGCAGCAGCAACAGCAGCAGCCGGCGTCTCTCGTTAACGGGCTCCGTGCTTCACGAAGTGGCCGGTAAAGTGTCGGCCGGCGGGTGTCATCTCCCGGAACAGCAGCGGAGACTCGCATCAAAGCGCGTTCACTCAGTTTCGGGTCTAACTGCAACTTTTTTTTTTGTTTTATTGGTGCTGGTGTCGCTTCATTCCCGAGTGTTGGCTGACAGAAACCACCAGCTGTTTCCACAAGCAACGGCTCGTCAGCAGAGCGGAGCGCTGCTGCGTTCACGGACCTCTCCCTCCCCCCCGCACACCGCAGCTCCTCCCCGGCTGCTGGTCACCCAGGTTTCCACGACAAAAGCTCCGGTGGGAAATTCACAGCTATAAAAAAAATGATCGCAGCTCTAAAAAAAAAAAAAAAAACCAAATACCTCAGAAAGTCCACAAAAAGTGCTTTAAAATCCCAATAAACATTAAAATAATGTTTTAAAAAAACACAAAAAAACTTGTGACCAGGACTAAACATGTGATTTTTATTTATTGTGTTGCTTTCCCCCCCCAAGAAACTCTTATTTTTAAAGGAAAGAATTTACCAGTAAGTATTTTGTATATTAGCTTTTGAAAATCCCAGCAGTGCATACCTTCTATTTGTTTTTCCACTGTAACTAAACTTTTATTTTGTTGATTTATTTTAAAAACTATTCAAAGCAATCCACCTGACATTTGCAAATCTCTCCTTATCATCAAACAAGTTTCTTTTACATTGAGTTTTTGCAGCATTTTGCACAATTTTATAATTTTATTTAGTTATTTTTCACTGTGTTCAATACTTCACAACCACACATTCATGTTTTATACACAAAACATTCAATGCCTAAAAGTGCCTCTTTAAAATGCCTAAAATCCTAATGGGATTGATCAACTATCATTTATCACGAGATTTTTGAAAATCACATTTGTATTTTTTGGAATCAAAATCTAAAAATCTGACTATAACACCTTTTCTTTCTTTCATTCTTTCTTTTCTTTTCTTTTCTTTTCTTTTTTCTTTCTTTCTTTTTTTTTTTTTTTTACTATTAATAGATTTATTTCGTGTTTTCAGAATTGTCTTGAAAGGAATTTTGGAACTTTGCTAAATTCATTTGTTGCTCATATTTATTTGGTGTTTTAAAAAAAAGGAATAATAATATAAAAATACATCAATTTAAACTTTACTAAGCAATAATGATAAATGAGGATAGCAGCAATATGGTCTGCCTAAAAACTATTTATTTTATGCCAATAATCACCTTACAATAAAAGGGTCAGTTGTCCAGGTTTTTTTTTTTTTTTTCATATCCAAAGTTCAGATTTTTTGCCTGACACTTGAAGGCAGCATCTTGCCTCCACGTAGTGCACCTGTTTGGACTCAGGGGACTGCAGCCAGCCAGACAGACAGTGAGTCAGGCAGGCAGACAGGCGTTAACAAAACCAGATTTACACCCTATAATCATTAAATAAGATTAAATGACTGCTGTCTCTTGTCCAGTTCCTCTCTTACAGAGGTGACGTTTTCATATATGTATTTTAATTGTAACTAAAAGTCTGAATATTTGCAGGAAAACTCACAAAAATCCTGCACCACAGAGAAAACACATTTTAAACGTTCTTTTTCTTCATCACAATATGATTTTGATGTTAGTTTAGACAATAAATACACAGTTAAAACTCAGCTGTTCGGTCAGTGTGCAGCCTCAATCATTCACAAGAGGGAGACAAAACACCATTTATGCTGCATCCTGATAAACTGAACATGATTCTACTGCAGTGTGCCAACATCTGCTACTATAACTAATGTAAAACATGCTCAACTGTTGTCCTGCACTGAAATGATGCCGTTTATTCTCATTTTTAATACTGCATTGCACATTAACTTTGTGCAAACCTCTCCTCTCTCATCCCCAACCAGGTTTCTTTACACTCAGTTTTAAACAGTTAATTTTCGAATGTGCCAGTAATTTTACAACCTAACATTCAACAATTCCATTACAGTTGGGTTTATTTTAATACTAACAGCCACAAATGCCAGTTCTTCATTACAGCAATTGTATCTGAGAAATGTATGTTTGACTAACAAGATACAGTAAAATAAGAACAACAACAACAACAAAGAAAATTCAGTTCAGTTACATTTTCCATTATTGATAAATGTCCTTAAATTAATAGATACATTAATGACATTTTGGAACTTGTACTTATTTGCATTCTTGCTGGGAGTTTAATGGAAAGGTCCTTTTAATATCTTGACTATTTGAAGATAATTTTGCAGGTATCAGCGCCTTGTAATTGTGTCAAATAGTCAAACATTACAAAAAAAGTAAATCTTTATCATGGTTTTCACAAGAAAAAAATGAGCATAAATCACACTATAAATAATATATGAACATGCGCTTCTTTGAAAAGTTTCAGAAAATTGATAAAAAATAAAAATATCTATGGTAATATTACATAAGGTTTTAATTGGAACCTATTATTTATAGCTTTTTAAAATAAAAAATAAAAAAAATCTAATAGATATCACCAGGAAACTTGATTACTTTAATTAAGACAATTAATTTTTGTATGACAGGTTTTCAGAAATTTTATATTCAACTATGCAATTAATGCGTTACTTATTTAGATGTACACAAACTTACAGTCATTTCAGAGCGCAGGATAAAGCCAGGTTCAAAAATCTTGTTTCATTTTGTGTGGAGGGAATTTTGAATACATTTATAACTCCAGCTGTGGCTCAGGTGGTAGAGCGGGTTGTCCTCCAATCGTAAGGCTGGCGGTTTGATCCCCGGCCCCTCCACAGTCGAAGTGTCCTTGGGCAAGACACTGAACCTGAAGTTGCTCCCAATGGCAGGCAGCACCTTGCATGGCAGCTCTGTCACCATTGGTGGATGGATGTGTGTGTGAATGAGAAACACATTGTAAAGCGCTTTGGGTAAAAACGTTATTTAAGTGCAGACCATTTACCATTTACCAAAAAAGTCATTTTTTGCAACAATAATAACAATACTACTACAAATAACAACAACAATACTACTACTACTAACAATAATAGTCATAACAATAAGAATTCTTCTTCTTCTTATAATTATTATTATTATTATTATATAGTGCTTTTCAAGACACGCAAAGACGCTTTACAAAGTATGTAAGAACACAACAACAAGACAAACAAACAAACAAACCCACAATAAAAAAAAACATAGATCACACAATGAATGATATATAAACAAATGCTCTGTTAAAAAGTTTCAAAAATTAGACAGAAATAAAGATATCTGTGCTATAATTACATACATTTTTTAAAAAGGAACCTTTTATTTACAGTTGAATTTTCTAACTAATAGAAACCAAGAAACCTGGTTACTTCCATGAAGGCTATTATTTTTTTTGTGTTACAAGTTTTTTGTATTTTTTTTGTTTAAATAGGCAAAAGGGGGGATTATCTCAATAAAAAAATGTGCAAATTTATGGATAATAGACAACAGGTAGCAAAAAAACCCCAAAACACTCAACTGTATTTTCTATCTAAAAGAATATGGAAGCAAAAAAGGTCATGATCTTAAAGCTGACCACTGCATTAAAAACCCTAAATGTTGCCAACAAACGAGGTATAATGTGCGAATGATTGAGCTTTGAAGTCACTGGGAGATGGATTTAGTTACCTTTTGGAAAGAGCCAGGCTACTAGATTATTCTTCCCCGTGTTGGGTCTTGATGCTAAACCGAGCTGCTGACTGTTATTTCTACCTGAAAACCGGCTCGTTCATTTTCAGGAGGAGGATGGAGGAAACAAGACGAGCAAACAAGTAGCTCAGGATGCAGGACCTGTGACATCATCATCATCACAGGTTGGTGGGGACACACACCGTGCACACACACACACACACACACACACACACACACAGATATCTAGCAGTAAACCGTTGTCAGTGCTTTTGCTGTGAACTGCGAGCTGATTGGCTGCACCGGGGTAGATGAAGGGAGAGAAAGGGCAGATGAGAGAGGAGTGTTGGAGGAAGCGTTCCTCTCTCTCTGCTCGGCCTCTTGCTCGGCTTCTTTCTCTCTTGCCTGCTCTGCTCAGAGGAGGGATTTGCCCTATCTTCCCGGGCTTAGCACACCATTGTGAAAGCAGTGGGAGGATGGAGAGATGCAGAAGGAAAAAAAAAAAAAAAAAGAGAGAGGGGGGGATGAAAGGGAAACAGCTGCTGCCTTTAAAGTGATGTTCTTCTTATCGTGATATGATACAGGATATGTTCAGTGACTCAGCCATCAAAGAGCTGCTTGGAAACAATTATATCCTCAGCTTTTAGTGTGTGTGTGTGTGTGTGTGTGTGTGTGTGTGGTTATGCGTGTTTAAATTGGTGTGTTTAAATGTGAGCATATCACAGCGTTCACTTCTGTGGAAACCTATTTCTGCCAGAAATCTAAGGAATGACAAAAAATTAAAGATACATATAGCAAATGAAAGTTGTGCCAGAAGTATGACATAACGAGTCAAATGTTTCTGGTTTAGGAATAAAAATATAATGAGTATCTTTATCTTTCCTTAAATTGCAACCTGTTTTGTCTTTTCCTGAAGCACATATAATGCTGCGTGTAGGATTTTGCAGCATGTATGATGATACATATGGTCTGTATTGTGAGTGTTTTCATCACATATGTCAAACTCGAAGCCCGCGGGCCAAATCCAGCCCATCACATCGTTTTATGTGGCCTGCGAGAGATGTGTTTCCTTATCTGATAAATAATAGGATTTACCTGATATAATATAACGCAATATAATGTTGTAATTTATGTTACAATAACCCAACAATGTGCCTACACAGGGCTCCAGACTGCGACCGAAATGTTCTCATATGTGACCATTTATGAGCATGTGCCAGGTGAAGTGTCACGTGGTTGCATTGTGCGAGTGAACGATGATCATCAGGCAGATCTGGTTCCTTCCGTCAGCACAGGTAGCTGCTGCTCCAGTTATTGTGGTTGGAAATAGTCATATTTCTTCCTCATTGACTCAGTCTCTCTCTGCCTGACGGTAAAACAGTCAGTTTCACTGTTACAGTGTTCCAATGACACAACGACACATAGCCGATTATGTTTAAAAAACAAAAACAAAGAAAAGCTCATACACATGTTCAGCAAATGTTTACCCTGTGTCCAGCTAATGACTGATATTAGAAGAGGATTGGTGACAAAATAAATATATTTTCAGGTGAAAACATTTCACAA